AGATTCAAGCTAAGAAAACAAAGGTACCGAAAAAATATTCGAAATTTTTATTTTGGCAAACAGTGGTAGACAGTTGGAAAAAACTAAGTGAGAAGGTGGTGGAGGCCAAAACCGTCAGTAGTTTCAAAGCGTTATGCGACAAAGAGTACTGGGAAGACGGGACACCACGAACGTAGCTCTTATCCTGTAAATACACTTAGGTAATTACACATACACATACACCGGAAGAGATGCATCGATATGCAATAATATGGCATCCGGGACTAAGAGACAAGAGCTATGAGCTGAGGCTAAAAGGTGCTAAATATACGGAAGCTAGAAGAAAAAGAGAGTGATATGATCACTATATACAAAATACTAGTAGGAATCGACAAAATTGACAAGGAAGAATTCAAGAAACGGCATCTTCAAGGACAAGAGATCATAGACACATGGTAAGGAAATAAAGGTGTCGGAAAAACATTATAAAGTTCTCTTTTACAAACAGGAAGTAGTGTGGGTCCTGGGGCCAGATTCACGAAGCAGTTACGCAAGCACTTACGAACGTGTACATCTTTCCTCAATCTTTGACGTCTTCGGTTACATTTATTAAACAGTTTACAAGATTAAAAACTTACCAATCAACTGTTGTTATTGTTATAAACAGCCTCCTGGTGCTTCGGAGCTCATTAACTTTTTAATAATTGTAAACAAAGTCGCCAAAGATTGAGAAAAGATTTACAGGTTCGTAAGTGCTTGCGTAACTGCTTCGTGAATTTGGCCCCAGGACTGGGCAGCAACAATTAAGAGGCAGTGTGAGCCAGGTAATAATAAACTTGTAATCACAAACAGGTGATTACAGACAGGAAATACCAAACAAGCAAATATGCATATAATTACAAACATAAAGAAGTAATAACCCAACGGGGAAATAAACAGTCAATTGCTCACGAAGCAACATATTGAGTACTCACCTAGATGTGCTTGCAGGGTTGAACTAGGCTCCTAGCCCCGCCTTCCAAATATTCTTAGATTGATGACTCGTTTCTCACAGTTGTACAATATTTACATTTACAAATTTGAATCAAATTAGCTTCAAGGACTTCTGAGCTACCTTAATTACCTTGTCGAGGTCTCCTGAGCAAGCTTTAGTCTCCACCCATCCTGTTAGTAGCCTCAGTCAACGGCCCTTAACCTTAATAATAGGCATACGTAAACTCAAAATCAAATCAAAATATATCAATCCAGGAACAATAAAATACAAAATTGGTTGCCTGCGATGCAAGATCAAATAATGTGTAATTAGGAGGCAAATTAGAAATTAGAAGAGAGAGAGAGAGATGAGCGGTTACAGTACTGTACTGGAGACTTGCACGCGTGGGTGAGTAGCCACGGCGGCCGGTTAATTGTATATTGTACTTGCCTGCTGAGCTGGTGAGTGTTGGGGAGAGTGTATAGTCCGTTGTGTGCGTGTATTGTGTACACGCATACATGCGTCTTGTGTGCGCATACATGCGTACATACGTGTCGTGCACGCATACATACATGTTGTGCACACGCGTACATGCGTGTTGTGCACACGCATACATGCGTCTTGTGTGCAGAAATACATGGGTGTTCTGTGCAAAAAATACATGAATGTTGTATGTATGCACATACATGTGTGTGTGCATACACGCATGTGTTATGTTCGCGCAAGCATTTTAGAGTTCGTGAGAGCATAATGTGTGTTTGCAGGCCTACATATGTACGGGTGTGTGTGGCGTTAGTGGATGTTCATGTGTTAGTGTGCGTCAGCTATGCTCGTAGAGAATAAGGACTTGAGTGGTGCCTTGTGAGTGCGTGCGTCGTCAGCGGTGTATTGAGGGCGTCTGGACGTCGTGGAGGAAGTGCGTGCGCGTCGTCGTCCATCCCACAACACGTCAAGGAACAACTGGCGGGAGTAGCGGGGCCGGACAGCCTATATAGCCCACGTGAGCCCGGGGAAAAACCTTGTGACAACATACTCGAGGCACTGAGAGCGTTCCTCCTCCCGGCCGGCCTAGGCGATCCAGGGGAAGGAAGGCGACTGCGTCTCAACCCGTCCCCAACGCGAACATCCCAATCATCCCTTCCCATATATGAACACAATATCTAATTAAATTTCGTTTAATTAAATGCTAAATATATTCGCGGTAGTACATTCTATAAGTATCTGGACTATTTAGTTTGTGAGTAAATGGTCATAATGGAAGGGGGAGCCAGACGAAACGGAGAATTCGAACACAGACATCATCCGATTACTCTGGCGTCGGCTATCACAATCGCCCTCGACTCTTTCTTAAGCTCGCCTGTCAATACCACATTTCATATTTAATCGATTCCTTCTTGGCTCTCTATTTTAACCGGGTAGTCGATAGTTGCACGAGTATCTTATCTGAATTAAGTGCATTTCACCTACGAATTTCTATATATGAGCTTTTGCAATATCGCAAGCAACACGACCCGGCCACCTGTTGAACAATATAGTAGATTGTTACATGTAATACCGCTGGCAAGAGATAACAAGGTGTAGTATTAAAAGTAAATACAAGGATGGTGGGTGGATGGGGAGGTCTGGGGCGAGAGGCCACCTCTTCACAGCTTATATCTCAAAACGCCCCACTCACAAACACAAAATTTTAACATTTTGAGAAAAAAGAATACCTTAGATTTTCACTTTATGATGCAGAATCTTCACAAAACACCTTGTGTAACAACTTAATGGTACTGGTATTGCTTATATTTTTTATAATAATAATAATGTTAATTCGGGTAAAAGTACATATACAAAATGAGTTACAAACAGAAAGTTGGATTTCTAGATAAAGCTAGTATGCACAGCGTTAGATCAAACGAATAAATTGAACTGAAATAGGAAAAATAAATGACTAATTACGTGTTGGATGGAACAGAACAGCAGAAGTAATTTTAACCGAAAAAGAATACAATTTTCTTAAAGTTTATACCAAAGTTTAGGTTTATAATATCTATTATATGTATTTGGTTAAATATGACCGCTGGCGTTGTTGATCTTATAGTATAAGCTTTCTATGCTTCTATTTTCTTATTCTCGGGATTGAGAGTTATCAAGTTAGCGAAATTCATTTGAAAGAAACACTAATGAGTGAAGGGTATAGTTTCTATAACGTTTCGTTCCACTCTGGAACATCTTCAGGTAAAGAATGAATATGCAAGTTGTTGTTATTTAAGATTCAGCTTCTAGGAACAAAGTTCCAAGTAGCACAGGCTATGGTGAGCCCGTAAATTACCTGGCACAGGAGCGGGGCAAGTAGCACGGGCTATGGTGAACCCGTAATGGCCTTACCTGGCACAGGAGCGGGGCAAGTAGCACGGGTTATGGTGAACCCGTAGTGGCCTTACCTGGCACAGGAGCGGTGCGGCAAGTAATGATTGATGAAGATTAAGCCATCCAAGAGGTGGCACAGGCATGAATCTACCGGTAAGTGGCAGATTTTGTTGGAGTGAATTAGCTCTTTGGTCGTGAAAGGACATACACACGAGCTGTGTGCTGAGCTCGCATTTATATCGTCAGTCCTTACTATGTGGCTGCTATCGTGGGGGAGGATACTGCTTGACAGTATTTATGAGGGTGTCCAACTGCTGGACACCTTTTTTGACCTGAAGATGGCAGAGTTGATGGCTTCAGGGTGGTTACTGCAAGATTCAGGGACTCTTAAAACGCTTCTAAGATCGTTGGTTGCTTCACATTTAAGGAGATACTGAAGCAGTCGCTCTTTTGATTGTTTGGCAGAAGATGCATTCCTAATCTCTGGGTTCACCAATTTCCCAGTTGCATCTAACCTCCGTCTGTATAACGGAGCTGCTATTTCCGTAGATTCCTTTCCATTACTGAGCAATTCACTTACCTATTGGAAAATTTTAATCAGATTGCAAAAGCCATTCGTTTTCCAACTAAATTCTTTTCAAGCATATTTCAAGTAGGCAATAGTGAAAAGGATTGAAATATTACATACCTTGACAGACTAAGCCTTTGCTACCGTCCCTCATTAAAGATTGATTGGAAAAGTATACAGTAGGCATTGTATGGGGGGGATTTTAATTTGGACTACGGCATGGTTACTTCAAAGTGAATAGGATTAGTATAGTCAAGTCCAAAGTGGCCAAGTGGAAAATTATTGCAAGTGTAGTGTCACAAATGTCTGAAAAACTGTACCATGCATATAAATTATTTAGTCACAGGAATGAACTTCACTTGCTAATTTGCCATTGACAAAAAATAGCGTGGGAGAAATAATTCCAGTACTCAATAGTTTCTTTGGATGCTTAAAACAATAATTGGCAGAGGTAACCTAATGCCGATAAATGTAGGGCTGAACTTTGGTAATATGAATACAGTATATCAGCTGGGCAATGTTGAAATCAAGATAAATTTCCTTAAATTATGGGGGTCATGATTACTAGGAATCTTTAGGAAAAAAATATACCTGTATATAAGGTATATCCTTCTCTCAGTTATAAATAATATAACAAATATAGGATACTGAGATTTACATTTAGAATGTGCTAGCCATGAGAAAGTCATTATTTCTCAGTATCTTGTTTGGCTCTATTTAGATTATCATATGTAGTTCAGTGTTAGTTACCATACTACAAAAAGGGAAGTGCTCCCAGGATTTCAAAACCCAATATGTCATTAAAAGGGCTTATGTGGCATTATCTAAAAAGACAAGGAGTAAGATGGGACAAAGTATACAAATAATGGATACAAGTTGGAAAATTTAGATTTGGGAAATATCTGGGTAAAAACTGCTTTTGTAAACAAGGTTATTTATGGTAAACATTACTAACAGGATCAACATGGAATTGCCGTTATGTTTCAAGTATAGGTTAGACAGTACGAGTAAGTTTGGTTGGGTATAAATACAAGTTCCTTGTATGAACCAATGTACGTCTGTACTTTCATATTTTAATGCAAAAAAAATAGAAAGGAACGATTTCTATAATAAATACTAGAAATATTTAGTTGCATGTTTAATCAACAAACATTTCCTGCCAAGATACAAACTAACAACTTAATGGGCATTATATTCAGAACATTAATTATTTTGGCACACTTTCAAATCGGCCATCTTCAGCGAGATCCAAAGATTGAGCTGCTTGACTCTGATTCTGGACCAAATTAAATAGTCGCTGAGGGCCAGGATGGAGGCTGCACTTTGTGCAGCTGCTTCTGGGTACAGTACTGTGCCACATCCCATACCTGTGCAATTAGTTTAGAAACATTATTCAGCTGATAATTTTATGAACTTCTAGCACATATCACACCATTATAGGATCTAACCAATAAAACTTTGTGCTTAAATTAGACAAAGTAATTAACATTCTAGCTTTAGAATAATCTAATATGAGTGATCATGCACTTGGGGAGGTCTGGGGCGAGAGGGGGGCTCAATAGTAAAATACATATAATAATCACCTGAAGGCAGACTAAGTGAAGACCAGATATCCCTTGCAGCCTCTTCAGGCTTGAGTGGTGGGCAGTTTATGACTGGGAAACACGTGTTGGCACAAGTAACAGGACCCAAGCCATTACTTCGACCAGCTACTGCTATGAACACCACTGGAATGCCAAGGCCTTCATACTGCGTAAACAAAGGAAATCTCTGATCACATATGCAAACTCCTTACACATGGCTATACAGTACTATTAAAATGCAGATGATGAAAAGCTGAAAAAATACAAATTCACTCAAGAATGAAGCTAAATTTCAGTTTATCACTGTGTAGACTAACATTATATAAAAACACAACATTACCTAACATTTCAATAATTTATAGTAGCCAAGTTGTAGTTTCTTTTAAAAGCCAATCCCTAGGAATAATCATCTGCATATTTCAAATACAATAATAAACTGGTAATTAATTTAACACTACCCTTTTATGCCTTCAGCCTAAATACTAAATTAAAACATTGAAAGCTGACCTTCAAAGATTATCACTGGAAAAGTAGCAGAAAATTCTAGTCTCCGAACAAAACTTGCATACCAGGAAAGCATTCTAGAGAGCCAAAACCTCTAAAAAAAAAAAAAAGGAATGCCAAGGCTTCCCTAAAGCCATTAAAAATGCTGAACAAGTTGTTAAACAATGCAGATGAAGTTCAGAAGGCCAAGAGGTTGTCCAAGATCCCATCTGGACAACCTACACCTCCTTAGTATAAACAAGGCAGCACCCCTGGAAGGAAGAGGGACACCAACCATACATCCAACAACTCCCATCATCAACTAAAACTGGGAAATTGACACACACACACACACCAAACTGGCCCAGCACACACTTCACCAAATCCTAGGTTGGCAGGCAAGAATGAGGTGGACCAAACCATCCAATTGTTCATGTAGGTCAGGACCTGGATCCCCTTGAGTCAACTTCAGATGAACCAAACAAATAAGCCTGGTCAATGTTCTGGGTGCCAAGTCGAGCCTGAATGTGGTACAAGGCTTCTCCAATCCGAAACTTTAATCACTGAAAATTGTATTTATGGTAACATGCCAGAAAACCAATGACATGGTGGTCTTTAACACTGTACATGAAAACCAACCTACAAAATGTTTAGAATCATTAAAGGCATTTTTTTTATTATTATTATTTTCTACCACAGACGTGGCCACACGTTGAGGGTGTGCGAGTCATTCAAGAATAGAGTGGAAGGGATTGTACAGACCTGGTCACAGCTATCATGCCCCTGGCCAACATCTGTCACTGGCACAGAATAATTCCTTCCTGGTCATATTGCCAAAAAATTGGACATGCATGCAACAGTTACAAATTTCTTACAGGTTCTTGCATAGCCCTCCAATTGTTCAACAAGCAGGGATGTTTAACACTAACCTGTGCAATGATAGCTAGTGTTTCCTGGGTGCCTTTATGAGCAGAAGTAACACGCAGCTCACATGGGACATCCAGCTTCTTACAGTGGTCACGGATTTTCTCACAGTGCTCCATATCGGAGGTGGACCCCATCAATACTACTACCTGAAATATAATGGTTAATATTATACTTTATAACATTGCTTTTTAAACTTCTTCCTTGCTCAAGGCCAACTTCAATGACTATCTCCCATATCTTTCCAAAGTGCATATACTTTACATCAAATTGTTATTAAAAACCAATTTGAGTCGATATCCTTAGCTCTAATCAATCTAGCCATTTCCTTCAACTTCAATCTTAACGTTGTTAATTATGCATATTCTTATACCAATATTCAGAAAATATTTAAATGCTCTACCTGATGTACTAAAGTAATGCCTTTCTAAACTGGGGATAATTGCACATAAGGCAAGGTAAAAGAGAGTGGCATACAATGTTCAAATTATACAAATAAAAACCAACAACAACAATCAATGCTGTACAAAAATGCTAGATGCCAATAGACAGACATTACAAAGGAAGAAGTTTCTTGTTATGAGTTAAGAAATTAAACACATTTGCTAACAATACTAGCAAGAAAAATGAAAAACTTGCCAATCCTTTTGGCGTCGAGATGAAGGAATCCAACTTGTCTGCAACCCACTGGAAATTCCGCTTAACCTGACACAGCGCCTCATCCGTTACAGTTTCCAGATTGCGGTATACCTGTGAAGTAAATTGTACAATGTATTTTCATTTGTTTCCTAGTTTGTTGACTACAGCACAGAATACATGAAGTTGGCTGTATTAATAAGATGCTGTATTTCAAATTTGTTATTCTTAAAGGCAGACTAAAATTCACTTATGATAAAACTTTAAAGAACTCGCCTGTTTGTCCTTCATGAGTCTCTTGTCACCAGCAGGCCATAATCTCCAGGAGTCAGAGTCAATTGTGTCCGAGACCAAGATGTCATCTAAGAAAACCAATAGATTGTTAAAAAAACTAGTTTAAAATGGACAATATTTTTATAAATTTCATACTGAGTAATGCATCAAACTTAATGCTATTCAACCAAACATTCTTTATTGTCCAAATCTGTATAATAGTCACACAAGGTTTTGTCTAGAGTCCACCACCCTAAAACTATTAACATTACACCAAGTAAACACTACTCTTGTACAGCAATTTTCAGTAAATAGTTACTGAAAATTCAGTTTTCATTAAAAACTAAATTTTAATTTGTACAGTACTATACCATTATACCATTAACTTGCAAATTCTCAGCAGCAGTCACAGTAAAGTCAAATCTTGTCCTTTTATTTCTTCAGAATTATTCACGAGTAAAAATATTAATAAAACTATTGTAAATTTTAGCATTTTTTTGCATAAAATTCAAAGTTCCCATTTATATGTCCTCAAATATAATTGTACAGTACTTACTTGTTTCTGCATCAATACCAAACTCAATCTTCATATCAATGAGTGCACAGTCTAAGGAGGCCCATGCACGCTCCAACACCTCAAACACTGCCACTGTTGTACGCGCCATAATATCGTACTCATGGCGACCAATCACCACACCACCAACTTTCAGCTTTGCTTCAATAACCTGTTCCTCACTCCATTGTGGGTCATGGTTAGCATCATCCTGGTAAAGACAGGAATCTGTATGGTTAAATTTACTTTTTCTTCAGTTTAAAATAATTTAAATTTAATTGAAATTTCATGTACTGTATGGTATAAATTATTGTATTGAATGCACTGAATATGACCAGTATCAATCAGCATTTACTAGGATTGAACTAAATGGCAAATGTTAGTACAGTACAGTACTGTACTTCACTTCAGTTCCCGATGCCGAGAACAGCAAGCTTTATCAAGGTCACCCAGGACAAGACCTGACCATTCCTAGGATGCAACCCACAACAGTTGCCCAACTTCAAAGTTTCTACTTACTGCTTGGTGAATAGAGGCATTAGGTTTAGGGAAACTTGCCTTACCGATTAGGAATTAAACTCTGGCCCATTCTATTATGAACCAACTGCCCTAGAGATCAGTTACAACACTGGGCTTCAATACTGATTTACAAAAATATCATATATAGCCCCTTTATTCAGACAAGAACTATATCCATGATAATGTATGAAGACAAAACTGACAAATACAATTGAGGATGAAATGTTTCAAAGTTGATACCAGGTAAGTTAGTTATCAAAGGAAGGCACCCAGCCAGAACTGAAGCATGGATACCATGTAGCAGGAAAAAGGATAAAAAGGAGTGGTGGGAGATGATAGAAGTATCACTACTGATACTATACATTCATACAACATTACTGGAGCGTTGAATACAGAGAACATTATATTAACACTGATGATGCTTATTTAATCTTTATTGTCAGTAATAACAGTAGATAATGACATTTGAAATGGACAGTATTAAAACCAAGTACATTTTTGGAAAGTCAATAGCCTATAAAAATTTGTTGGCTAGTCTTGCTTCAAAACAAGAAAAAAAAGCTCTAAACTTGTGTAGTAAATGTGCATGTAGTTGCCTACTAGCTGGGGAAAGTCTCTTCAAATCCTGCCAAAATGTAATTAGTACCACAGCATGATTATAATAATGAAAATATAAATTACATAATACAGTATTTTTAACCCTAAAAATGCAGTATAAAAATCTGTCACCTCACCTGTGGGAATATGGAGATGGGTGGATGTATTATCACCAAAATAAATCACAAATACTGTACTGTAATGTACATTTGCATTGGGAGAGGGGAGGGGATTTAGAGAAGTCTTTACTAGTTTGGCAAGGAATACATTGGAGCCAAGTAATTCATGAAGTACAAATTCTGTACCTATATGTGCTAGATCTGCACAAAACCCAAGCACTTAACTGATGCACCTAGCTCATCATGTAAGTTGTGTAATCTATCAGGTTTCCTATCCCCAACAATGGGAAACTATATGAAAATACGCTTAACAAATTTAAAACATTTTGCATAACACTCTTTACCTTATAGAATGTCTCCATTTTTGGGGGTGTAAACCTGTAGCCCTCTGTAACACCAACATGGCGGCGTAAGAAGGATCCAGTAGCAACTCTACGTGTCACCCACTCCAATGGTACCATGTGACATTTGCGAGCCAAGTATGCCTTACCATCATATGTTTCCAGCCATGCAGTTTTGATGCCTGCAAGATCATGTAGTGGATATAAATCAAGTTTCCTCTCAATGAGTGGGAAGGCATCCACCTTGAGATAAAAGGACTACGTATCACAAGCACCACCACACCAACAGTCCTACATGGCAGCATCCCCAAGCTTCATAATACCCAGTGTAGCGCTTTGTGAATTGGCACGTATAGTACAAATACTCGACTGCTCAGATTTTTTCTAAATTGTCGTATCTTGCCATTTGAATTCAAATAAAAAGGTTGGTACAATTTAATTGTAATAAATATAGCCTTGACTTAACAAGGATTATTATTAGCTTACTTATAAATATATGAATATTTTATATTTCTTACAAAAAATAAAAGATGCCTCAAAATTTATTGGATAATTAAAAATTAGCTACAAACAATCGGCAGAAATGTGACAGCGGCCTAATACTTTACCAACACAAACTGATTTGACAGTACTGACGTCTTGTGCTGAACTAGGAGATCTTACAGTTAAATAGTTTTTATTAGTATGATCACAACTGTATAATGGTCCAGAGGGACCGAAACATCGTTCTTTTCATTTTTTGATGTGTGGTTTGGTCATCTTATTAGTATGATGTTGGGCTTTGGTCCTAGCAACTGCAGGAGGGCTATGACGGCCACTAGTACTGATCGACCAGTAAGTACTGTAAGCAGTAATGTACTTTAGTTCTGAACATGCTCCAGGATATAAAAGGTTCTGTATATATAAACTATACAGTACTGTATATACAGAACCCAGTACACAGAAGTGAGACAAACTTCTGTACATCTCCCTTCTTTATTACTGCACGACTAACCTAAAGATTAACATTTATATGCTGCTTTAGCTCAAACTAGATAACTACAAGTACATTATTAAATGTGAAGCAACAATCATTGGCATGCTAGCTCTCACACACACACACACATCAGGGGAACCTAATAGCTGAACGGACAGCGCTCTGGACTCGTAATCCTAGGGTCTGGGTTCGATCCCCCGGTGTTGGTGGAAACAAAATGGGCAGAGTTTCTTTCACCCTGATGCTCCTGTTACCTAACAGTAAATAGGTACCTGGGAGTTAGGCAGTTGTTACAGGCTACTTCCTGGGGGGAAGGGGGAGGAGGGTGCGGAGAAAAAATAAATTAGTAGTTAGTGACAGTTGATCAATTGATAGTCGAGAGGTGGGCCAAAAGAGCAGAGCTCAACCCCCACCAGCACAACTAGGTGAATACACACACACACCTGCCTTCCGAAGGAACGCGAAGACCTTGCCATTGGTGGCATTGGAGATAACAGCCTTGCCCTCCAGGTCATGGGCTCTGGCACCGTCCCCAGCTGTGATACGGTCCTTGTTCACCACCAGAACACGATTCGGGTCACCAATCACCTCATGAACCACCTTCGTCTTCCCCTCGATGATCACGGCACCAGCACTGGGCTCTAGCCAAAGACAAAAAAAAAAAGGCAAACAGAACAATTTAATAAATGACTTGGTAATAATGTTTATTATAACACGTCAAACTTGCACTGTATCTTGTGCCACCCACGCCCCCAATATATGTGCCTAATGAACAAATATGTGTATATGTGCCTAAGCCATACATATAACTTCATTGTAATCATTGCTATCAACTTACATCATGGGTGTTATGTTGAACGCAAACTTTACTACAACGTACCTAGGAATAATCCTCAAATTATGCTACAATGTACCTATTGATAATCGTCAAATTATGCTACAATGTACCTATTGATAATCGTCAAATTATGCTACAATGTACCTGTTAACATTGCTCAATTTTGCTACAAATTACCCACTTAAACTTATGTTAGATTAATTAAGGACCTGCCCGAAGCGCTATGCGTGTTAGTGGCTTTACAAGAATGTAAAATCATCATTGCTATATACAGTACTCTCATAAACCCCAATGTACCTTCTCGTATATATACAAGATAAATAAATAAAATAAGTTACACAGCATTACATATACATATCACAGCCCTTAATCCTCTAGCAGTAACTATTTAAAAAACCTACATCAAGATGTGTATGATATATATTTATATAAATCGAGTTTAATCCAAAGCATGAGGTTATAAGGTTAGAGGCGAGCAAGATACCTGTCATAGTAATAACGTCCGTCCTCAGAGGCCGCTGACAAGCCACTGAGGCCCAGCAGCCCCCCCCTGGTAACGCCGTTCCTTACTGCCACATGTCGCTACAAAATCTCAATACCTTTATTATCACATTTTGTACCTTCATAGTCTAGAACAACAATCAGTAGACTAATACACGAATACGATAATATAAATAAAATGTATTATACATAGTTCTGCTTGTTCCTACAAGGCATAATGGGTGATGTGACCTTGAGAACATATAGGACCACTCAGGTAGCCAGCCACGTGACTAGTTTGGGCGGGTACGCATGCCATCCCTTCACTGAGACATCCAACCCTGTCTGGACGTCTCCATATTATGGAGACATCCATATATTATTATATTCATATTATAATGTATTATAATATGAATAATATAATAATAGTTGAATATGAATAATATAATAATAATAGTAATATAATAATAATAGTTGAACCACTCATACATACACATGTACGGGGTCGGAAAAGCTATCATTAATAACATTAAACTCGGTGATAAGTATGAACTAATTAGTCCTATCTCCTCCCCAGAATGATGTATAAGTAGCCTACATACTGTGAAAATTTTAAACTCTTTCAAGATCTATAGGTCAATAAAATGTTATAGTTTAAACCACCATCTATATAAAACATGAATGTCTTTCCAAGCAGACGCCTGAGGCTAGCCTCACCCAACTTTCCAACATGAAACATGGGGGTATGGGAATGTCATAGGCCAGTTGGGGCTGGCTTAATATAGACATTTATAGTGCCACATATGATTTTCATGAAGTCTGAAATCAAATTACAGATGTATTTTCGAGAGTTTCAGTGCCTACTCTCACCGTTGCCCGTTATTAAAAAACGATGAAAGTAAGTCCGTTCAGGTAACAGTATTAAATTTTCTGAAATAGTTCATAATAAACGAACTAAACTGAGATAGATAAACAGAGAGGGGGAAGAAGAGAGGGAAGGACAGGTAGGATGTTGGAGGAGAAGGATGGAGAGAGGGGAAAGACGGAAGGAAATGGAGAAATGAAAGGGGAGGGGGAGATAGAGAAAGAGAGCGATTAAGAGAGGAAGAGAAGGGGGAGGGTGGGGTGAGGAGAGCACGAGAGACTGACACCGCCGGATGACAACACCAAAGATATAACCCATAAGAGTAGCCTGATTGAGTACATGAGAACCTATTTCAGAGAATACTCATACACCCTGATGGTGTAAGTGTACACTGATTGTGTATAGTATACCCTGATCGGATATATGAGTATACCCTGATTAAGTATGCATATATCTTGTGTGAGTCTGGGTATTCCCTAATTGGGTATGGGTATACTCGACCAGAGGCAGGAAACCCTTGATTTGCCCATTAAGGCCTAGCCCCTATTCAAGGACTAGTCTATAGTCACACCCATCCACACATTTCTGGCCAATTCCAGCAAGATGTGCTGCTGTTCTATTCTATATGAGGGATTATACAGAGTATATATCAAGTGTTAGCTCTAAGTTCACCTACTACCCCACTCTCACAAGATGGTTAGTCATCCATGGGATTAGTTAGATTAGTTAATTTATATGCACCCCGCATATTAAGGGACCTGATGGCTTAGTGGACAGCGCTCGGTATTCGTAGTCCTAAGGTTCCGGGAACGATCCTAGGCGGAGGCAGAAACAACTGGGCAGAGTTTCTTTCATTCTGATGCCTGTTACCTAGCAGTAAATAGGTACTCAGCAGTTAGACAGCTGCTACGGGCTGCTTCCTGGGAGTGAGTAACAAAAAGGAGGCCTGGTCGGGGATCGGGCCGCGGGGACGCTAAGCCCCGAAATCATCTCAAGATAACCTCAAGATAAGATGTACCTCCTTGCTTAGCCAAACGAATTTTGGGTTTCTTGAACCTATTTATATACATTTGTAACTATTTCCCGCTACCGCTGTCTAGTGTATATTTTGTGCTCTCCGTACATATAGGTTTTAGTTCTAAACATGCAACAGCTTTTGTTATTGTTCTGTGACTAGTGTCATTGGGCGAGCTGTCCCTGACGAGGCTCCCATGATGCGTACACCACGGCGCGCGTCTGGCAGGCGCGGATGGAAGACCTTGTAGGTGCCCACAGTACGATAATAACTGACAGCGTCCGGGAACGGCATCCAGTAAAGCTACCGTGGACTTTGGGATATCCATTACCCCCGCGGCTCTGTCTCGAACCAGATCTTACCGCAGGAAATTTAGCCTCCTGTCACATGCTGGTAGCTCGCAGCACAGCTAATCAGGAACACTCTGCAAGTGTTCACTTGCAGAGTGAACACTTGGAACACTTGGCAATTTCTATATTGAAATCGTCAGAGAGGCGCAGTGAATGGGGTAAGGTCACAGCCGTACGCAGTACTGGGTTCAATTCCAGTGATAATATAGATTTTTTTGTGTGAAAAAGCTTAGGTACGTATATACAGCAATGCGCGTCTACCCTATTCTACATGAAAGTTTACATAGTAAGGATCCCGGTAGTAAAGTTGGGTTTGTTTGCGACCCACAATCGTGAATCCGGGGTTCGAAACCCTAGCAGGACAGAAATGGTTGGGCACGTTTTCTTGGATGTAATGACTGTTCACCTAGCAGTAAATAGGTACCAGTTAGTCAACTGTTGTGGGGGTTTGCATCCTGGGGAGGCTACCTACCTTGAGGCTACCTTGAGGTGCTTCCGGGGCTTAGTGTCCCCGCGGCCCGGTCGTCGACCAGGCCTCCTGGTTGCTGGACTGATCAACCAGGCTGTTAGACGCGGCTGCCCGCAGCCTGACGTATGAGTCACAGCCTGGTTGATCAGGTATCAAAGGGGGTCAGAAATTCGACTTTGGGGTGGCGGGGGATTATATATATGCTTAATGTATATTTATTTTGTATTTATATATACTAGTATATACATAAACTAGCATATACATATGCTAGCTACCTGTCCCCGACAAAACGAATTATAGTATAGATCAAGCGTTAGTTATGAACTTATCTAATATTCCCATCTCACAGGATAGTTATGCATGGAATCAATAAAAGAAGAATTTAATAAGTCTTTCCGGCATATGAATAAGAATGACTTGTGTGTTTTGCCTCAAACTGGGCCATTGAAGGCAGCACACAAGCGGTTTTAAGGGGATTAACGGTCAGGTGTTTTGTGTGTGAGATAGTCCTTCCACGCCAAGATGGAAATTTACCGGGGGTCAGGTCAAACAGTTCCATTAAGGAACTGACCTTGACATTTACTTGACACATCTACCGTCCGCGTCACCTAACGCTTGTTGTGTTGTTAGGGGGTAGAAATAGCCTAAGCTACTCTATCCCTTTGAGATGCATTTTTTCCTTGTTTCAATAACATACTTGAACTTAAACTAACGCTTGTTCACATAGTTTACAATTGGAATGCTCACGGCTGGAGACTTATTACCCACAGCTACCTGCCATAAGCATCGACATCACAGCCTAATTTTGGCACTTACAATTTTCTACATAACTTTCTATATTTCTAACATCGGCACTTTCTATAGTGTCGATGTTTTTTGCAGCTTGGAAGGAAAACTCGTTTGGTCCACTCCAGCAGTTGGGGGTCCAACAACAGCTGTTGGAGGGGGGGCCAAGTAGTTAGCAACACCGAAAGCAGCAATAATAATTAGTAATGGTAATGTCTTCCCACAGACATAATAACATAGGATACAAACCCACACTTGTATATTTGTGAAATTCATGTAAGGAATTTACACCAAGTCTTTCGTACTCTCCTGAGTGCTTTATCAAGGTCTGAGTGTGTGATTAAGATGAGACTTACATCTCAATGTCTAATGAAGCTGATATCCTCAGATTTAGCTACCCAGAACAAAAAACTGCAAGTAGCACGGGCTATGGTGAGCCCGTAGTAGAATTACCTGGCACAGGAGCGGGGCTGTAACTGGCTCATGGGTCCAGTCCTCTTATCCTTCTTGACCGACTGACCATGTCACCTCTAATCCCTACTGCTGATGTACCTGCGGTAATGTCTTCCACAGACCGTTGTTATTAACCAAGGTGTTCATCTCGATAATAATAATAATAATACAATGCTACTAATGAGAGTGATAAAATTAATAAAAAATAATGGATGTTCGATAAGAGGTTTGGAGAAGAGTGAGAGTTAATTAACTATTGTTGTTAGAGAGTAGATAAGACCCTGCGGCCCCGCGGGCGTTTACACACCTGGTACAACAAGTCACAGAAAATAAACATTGGTTGGTTAACTATAGTAGAATAAACAAATATATATATATATAATATATATATATATATATATATATATATATATATATATATATATATATATATATATATATATATATATATATATATATTATATATATATATTTATATTTATTTATTTATTTATTTATTTATATTTATTCTCCAGTATAAATGTATATTGGATCTATAAGCCTTGCAGGTTGTGATACAGCCGTTACAGTTACAAAGACAATAAAAAAGTTGAATAAGAGTTGAGGTTAGCAACAGAAGATAATGCAGTGACACGTACTTTTACGAGGCTACTGAATGGCGAGTGATAAAATTGTTATCATTACTTTTTTCTTTGTAATATGCGCATCACCTGCTGGCTAGCCGGTTAAACGTCGCTGAATCTGGTTAGTAACTGGTTTGGTGATCGCGAAGTTCACCTATATATTGGGGGCTCTGAAGAAGCCCAACGGGATTTTTTTATTTAGATTTTTAACACTTTTCTTTATTTATTTTCTAACAGTGCGTACCTGGAAGAGAAACATATTCTATAGTCAAGAACGTTGACGATGTTGGGCAACAGCTTGTGTTATCCCTCATAAACAGGTTATCCCTCTTGGCAAATTCCCACAGAAATGTAAGAAACCAGATATCATTTTCATCTGGTTTCATCTGGTTAAAAATTTCATTATCTGCTGATGTAGACCATATATAAATTGTGTTGACAAAATTATTCGCATACCCTACGTCACTATGTGATGGAGTGCAAAAAAGATACGTGAGTTCAGAGACAATTCTATAGCAAATGTTCAAGAGATGTGTAAATATTTAATTAAAAATGATCTGCTACCAGAAATCTTAGCCAAATATCCCCAGTTTGCTAACTGTAGGTAGTAACTAAGTGATTGTAACCTATCCACCGCTGCCCACTAGATGGGGGGCGGTGTGCAGGACAAACATATCAATTGTGACACTAGGCTCTCCACATATGTCAGTTGCTTAACTTAGAGACTATACTTGTGGTCGGCCTCGAGCCCATTGTTAATGTGACGATGTGCATTGAATTTTCTAACTAGCACATCAGGATTGTTACTTGCTTAGCGAAATGAATTGCGCGGTTCAGTTCCTGAGCTTATTATGTGCCTCTGTAACTCTTTCCACTACCCCCCACAAGATGGGTATGGGGTGCATAATAAATTAACTAAACTAAACACTGATATAATGCTAGGAGGCTTTGGGTAATTCGATGGACGCCCTATTTACTGCTAAGTATATTTCAAATTCAAGTATAGTGCGTTTATTGAGATAATAAGATACATCTCAAAAGGATAAAGTAGCTCAGGTTATTTCTACCCTCAATAGGTATATTTACTGTACTCTTCTGGGTACAGCATTAAGTGATAAGACGCTCCCAATTATTTCTGCAACCCGTTCTCGACTCAAGTCCATTACATCCAGCGGTCGACCCCACAGACGCATTCATAAATTTTAACATGCTGTTCATTCAAAACGGGAATTTTCTCAGGTATAAATTAATATTATAATATATTAACATATTGTGCATATATAGGCATAGGTTAGGTTAGGTTAGGTGTTTAGGTTCTGTTGGCGATTATTTGTATTTGTAGTACGTGGGTGAAGCATTTATAGCGTTGTGATTCGAACAAAATTCGTCAGTGAAACACTTGTTCCGGATATGTTCGAACATCAGCAGTTGTGAGTCGTGTGTAAACCGCTTTTCATTCATAAACAGGGGGTTTGGCGGGTGCATGGAATCACTTTTGGATCTTTGTTTGGAGGACGGGCTGCATTTACAGCGCTGTATTTCGAACAAAATTCGTCAGTGAAGTACTTGTGCCGGAAGTGTTCGATCATCATCAGTTGTGAGTCGTTTTTCATTCATAAACAGGGGGTTTGGCGGGTGCATGGAATCACTTTTGGGTCTTTGTTTGGAGGACGGGCTGCCGCCAGGGACTCGATCCCGGAAATCTCAATTTTAAGTCGACAACGAACCCGACCATACTATCGGCACCTTATAACCCACTGACTCGTTACTGTGATTACAATATTTATTAAAAGGGAACAACGGAAGTAATTGTTATATTTAAAGCAGCTCGGTACTAAATACTTAAGAATGTAATAAAAACAAATACAATTTAAAGGCCTAATGGTGGCCCCCGGGCGGCCTCTGAGGTCTGGGACCGCCCTGGCAGGACAGGCAGGACAACACCAGGCTTATCTCCTTTTCCTCATGCTTACCTTACCTTTCCTGCTCAAGTTTGTACGTTCCAGATAAAAAATGAAAGGTCATACGTACTCATAACACTATTTTGTCATTATTTGTATTTTGGAGAAGAAAGATTTAAGAACTTTAATAAATCTGGCTTGTAAAAATCTGCATTGTTTATTTAGTTGAAAATAAAGTGTAATTATTTAATTATGCTAAAGGTAATCAGATGTTATATAATTTTAGTGGAAGGATCTGAAAACAAAATCATTAGAGTAGAATTTCAGAGATAATACGATGTGTGGTGTAGGAGCGAGAGGGAGTACAACAATAGTGAGGTGGTTGGTATGACGTGCAGGAGGCGGGCAGCTAGGCGGCCGGGTGCTGGAGTGACCAGTGTGGCGGTCATAGACACTCGTGTGAGGTGTGTCTGTTGTCAGGGCGGCTCCAGCTTCAATGACCCTGCCACAGAACTTCTCGTACTAGTAGTGTCAGGTGTTGGAGGCCCTTGTGTGGCGGCCGAGCAATTGTTCAGTGTTTATTGACATGTGTGTGTGGCATGTGTTTTGAAGTTGACGGTATTTAAATCCCTTGAACTAGCAGGGTACAACACTTTGCGGTTGTAACACCCACATGACCGTGCCCAGCTGAGGCTCACGTCGTGGAAATGTAGTGTAACTAACGACAAGACGCTGAAGGACAGTCGGAACCATTTACACAAGACGAAAGCAGTTTGGGGGGAAGATGACCTCGCGTATCCAAGACCCAAGCCCTTCGAGCCCTCCGCTCTTGAGCTGGGGTTCGAGCAGCCCCCTAGAGGGCCGTGGTGCCCCTGGGGGTACAGGCGGCGTGTCCTGGGGCAACCTGGAGGACACGGCTGAGAGCGAGGGGCTGAGGGAGGCCTGCGGTGTGTTTGGCTGTGTCCTAACTAAGGACGCCGACCCTCAGGCCGTCAACGTCGCCCACGTTATCTACGTGGGTCTGGTGGCTCTCCAACACAGGTATACTGACTCTCCTTAGGTCTGGTGGCTCTCCAACACAGGTATACTGACTCCTTTAGGCCTGGTGGCTCTCCTAACACAGGTATACTGACTCCTTAGGCCTGGTGGCTTTCTAGCACAGGTATACTGACTCCTTAGGTCTGGTGGCTCTCTATCGCAGGTATACCGACTCTCCTTAGGTCTGGTGGCTCTCTAGCACAGGTACTGACTCTCCTTAGGTCTGGTGGCTCTCCAGCACAGGTACAGACTCTACTTAGGTCTGGTGACTCTCCAGCACAGGTATACCGACTCTCCTTAGGTCTGGTGACTCTCTAGCTCAGGTACTGACTCCTTAGGTCTGGTGGCTCACTCACCTTCACATGTAATTATCAAACGAAGGCACCAAGCCGGAGATGGGCCAGTCCTCTACAGTCCCTTGACCTAATGGCTCATAACACAGGTATTGACACCTGCGGTTGCGCTGGCAAACTGGTCCTTAGGGTTCTTCTGTCCAGGTGGATATTGGCTTTTCAATACAGGCAGCTGTACCACGTCATTGATTATTGGAGCTTGTTAAAAATAGTTCAGGAACTTTTTAAACTAAAATTTATATCGAGGTTAACAATTACTGTATGTTCAGGAATGTCCGATAGGTCGGGGAAAGGTTCGATAAGTCTTGGGGGGGGGGGGGAATTATCAAGGGAAAGCACCAAGCCATTACAACTATATAGCACTAGGAAGGGATCAGGATAAGGATTTGGGATGGGACCGGGGGCCAACCACTTGGACGGTCGGGGATTGAACGCCGACCTGCATGAAGCGAGACTGTCGCTTAACCGTCCATCCCAAGTAGCTGGACGGGTGGGGGGAGGGGGGGGAGGTGAAGTTTGACACGTCTGGGGAAAGAAAGGTCCGACACGGCTGGAGAGATTTGTGCACGGTTCCTTACACTCGATGCCTCGACTTACCCATAGGTCCTCGGGTGCTAGGAGACTGGGATCCCATCTTGGAGAATTACTGACCAGTAATTAGCCGCGGTCATAATTCCGTGGCTTAGGACCTCGATGAGCCAAACAGGTTCTCTCTCCCCGATACTGAGCTTGCACTCATTTTGCATAATTGATTCATCTGGGAGTAACGTTTAGGTTTCTCCTACTTTTGCAATGCAGGTAGTCTATTACTAATTATATTCGGAAACACAATAACGAGGAAACAAGTTATTTACTTGAATCTACCTTAGAAGACAGGAAGTCGGCTGTTTGTCAAAGGTTTCCCCACTATTATGTCAAACCTTAGGAACGAGGTAGTATCGTGAAGTAATTAAAATAATTTGGCAGGTGTAGTCAGACGCCCCTTCTGGTGACAGTGCCGTCACGTGTTACATAAACAAGGCGGCTGTTGAGTCGGCTGGTAATGATTACATATTAACAGCGCCACGTGTGAATAACCATCTGTATCATTGGTTCTAGCATAACTGCATGTTCTTTTCATCCTATCGTGAATGATCCCAACGAATGTTATATAATATTCTGTAACAGATGTTCGATAGGCTTGTTGCTTGGCGCCTTCTTTTGATAATTACGATGTTCATATGTGACTAATTTAAATTACAGTACATGGAAAAAACTATAACCTTCCCGCGTCTAGAAATGCAGTTTGCAAATGCGCAAAAAAATAGAAATGCAATGCTCTGCAAATCAAGGGACCCAGAATGTGGAATGACCTTCCAATACAGGGGTTTGGATTCGTAGTCCTGAGGTTCCGGGTTCGATCCCTGGTGGAGGCAGAAACAAATGGGCAGTTTCTTTCACCTTCTTTCAAGGGGCCTCGTAGCCTGGTGGATAGCGCGCAGGACTCGTAATTCTGTGGCGCGGGTTCGATTCCCGCACGAGGCAGAAACAAATGGGCAAAGTTTCTTTCACCCTGAATGCCCCTGTTACCTAGCAGTAAATAGGTACCTGGGTGTTAGTCAGCTGTCACGGGCTGCTTCCTGGGGGTGGAGGCCTGGTCGAGGACCGGGCCGCGGGGACACTAAAGCCCCGAAATCATCTCAAGATAACCTCAAGATCTCAAGATAACCCTGATGCGTCTGTTCACCTAGCAGTAAATAGGTACCTGGGAGTTAGACAGCTGCTACGGGCTGCTTCCTGGGGGGTGTTTAACAAAAAGGCCTTGTCGAGGACCGGGCCGCGGGGACGCTAAGCCTGGAAATCATCTCAAGATAATGTCAAAGGTTGTACCCCTCTCAACCAGCTTAAGAGAAAAACCTAAGTACTACCTAATAAACTCCATGTAACCTACCTTACCTCCTAAAGGTCAACCTTTGTCTTGCTATTTTCAAACAATATTGATTATTGATCAACTTGTTTAACTGCTGGTATCTGCCATGTATAAACTTAGACAATTTTAATCTTCTGTTTTAGTTAAGATTCCTTCAGCTGTTCTGTTGCATTTTCTGCTGTTCTATCTATCATGTAATTATCATCATTCTCCCTTTCATTTTTCATTTTTTTCAATTAAATTTATACTTTTGATCTCGAGTGGTATTAAGTATTAGTCTAAAGTTTTTTCCCTACAACTTGCCGGAAAGGCTGTGCGTATTAGTGGCTTTAGGTATTGTATGTACTAGCTCTGTCTATAAATCTAACATAAGTTTGTAACTCATTTTCAACGTACAGTATGTACCTTTACCCGAATAAACATTTTATCTTATCTAAGAGAATAGGTAAAAAATTTATTTGCGTGGTTAAGATCTTCTGTCCTTTAAGTAATTCCCAAACCTGTTTAGGACGCTGTTTTGAATACCTAATGTACTTGGCCTGTGTTGCATGATTGACAGCCACGTGCTCTCAAATCTAGAAAGACGGTTATGATTTCGTTGTAGTCACCACTATTAAAAATAGCCTTGCTTAATTTCTGCGTTCCTTCCGTTTGGAAAGCCATGTTGACCATGCGATATATCTTCAGTAACCAAATAACTTTTTGTGGGTAACTCAAATATTTTATTGCCGCATTGACAGAAACTGGTCAATGATTGTAAAAATCTTTATTCATTATTCTATATACCAGTCGTGATTTTTGCAACCTTGCGACATTTACATATTGCATGGGAAAGCCTAGTATATATAGACGAGTCTGTCAATGTTAGCATTACGGGCCATTCATGCCCGTGTCACCTTTTGGGTGGCTTTATCTTTATCAATCATCAATCAATGTTAGCATTAATAATTACTAAAGATATGTTATAGTAATTAGGACAACCCTCTTAAAGAGATACGTCGGTGGTAGTGCTGGGTTGAACAGTGATGCCTTAGAACAGTACAGACTTGCAACTGGGATTGAAAGCAGCCAACGCTGAGCACCGAATGTTGAGTAAGCAATTATACTGTTAGCTTTTAATCTTGTCTGCACTAAGAAATGTGTTTGTGTATGTGTGGTGGTATTGCAGAGGTCAGGAGAGCGCTGGCATCGTCACCAGCGAGGGTCGAGGTAGCATGGAACTTCATTACCACAAAGGAAACGGACTTGTAGCAACCATCTTCTCCGACGACAAGCTCAGCAAACTCAAAGGTGAGATTCTTCACGGCATTGTCGGCTTCTGGGAAGGTGAGACTGATAATCAGGCCAGTGAAAATGACATAGATTCAAGTGTCGGGGGCGCGGGTTTATAATTATATCTACTACTATTTTGTAACTATTAAAACCTTGTCGAACATCTTGATTATATTTATCTGTATATATATATATATATATATATATATATATATATATATATATATATATATATATATATATATATATATATATATATATATATATATATATATATATATATATATATATATATATATATATCTATATATATATATATATATATATATATATATATATATATTATATATATATATATAGATATATATATATATATATATATATATATATATACTAATCTTAGAGTTCTGATAGCATTAAGTATAATTGAGAAATTGGCGTGGGGTCTTACACAGGTAAGGTGGGTATAGGGCACTCCCGGTACTGTACAGCCGGTGGGCGTGACCCCTCCAACACGCAACCCTTCATGGTCCACACCAGACATGGTCCGCTCGCCACTGCTCACAATGGTGAACTCATCAATGCTGTCGCCCTGCGTAAGACGGTAAGTTTTAATAGAGAGAAAATACCGAATAAAGTTTATACTGTCTTTGTTTGCCCTTGTGAATATATATTTATCTTCATTTTGTGTGTACAGTACAGTAAATGTAATTTTGTTATTGTACTTATATATATGCATAGTTTACATATAAATATGTATACATAATTTATATGTATGGTCAATATTTGTGTATATATTGTACTTTGGTAACATTTTTCAAGAAAGCCGACATTAAAATTTGTATACTATACTGGTCAGGCTTATTGTATTCCAATTATTTTTGGCAGGTTTTGGACAGAGGTGTTGGTTTATCAACACAGTCAGACTCTGAGCTGATCACACAGATGCTGTCACAGACACCACCTCGAGGAGAGAAATCTGGTCCTGACTGGGGTGCCCGGATACGACATCTGATGGAAGCTACTCCCACTGCATACTCCCTGGTCTTGCTGCACGAGGATAAGATATATGGCGTGAGGGACCCTTTTGGCAACCGGCCCCTCTGTATAGGCCGACTCATGCCTGTAAAGGATATTTATGGTAGTGATTTATTTTTTTTGATTTCTGAGTATAGTTGGCACATTATATTTGCATTATCCCAGCAGTGCCTAGGATAGTCTCTCTCCCTCCTATTACAATCCTCTTCTTTCCCTCCATCTTCCATTCCTCTCTCTCTTCTCTCCCATCTGGCCAACCAGCTTCATCATTTCCATTTACATCTGTACCTGTAAGAGAGTGCTTGTCTGTCCATCCAAAGTTGGAGGCCAGATGTGTGTGGGGTTAACCTCGCCTAACTTTGCAGGGTGGAATGGTCTGGGGTATGGGACAGACATAGGCTGGTCGGGGTAGGTCCGAGTTAAATGCTTTAAGAAATGTTCGCATTTAGAAGGACCTCTATGTGATTTTCATGGAGTCGAGTGTGAAATGTGTGATTTCTCTAGTTTTTGATGATCATAATTATGTATTTTCTGGGAGGCCAATACAATTGTTTTAGTACTGCTTAATTTTTCTGAGGGAAGGTGGAGTAGGAAAGGATGATGGGGAGGGGTGAGGGACCAAGGGGATGGGGGATAAGGGAATCCCTTCTTCCTCTTCCCCCCAGTCCCCCCCCCCCCTCTTAAAAAATCTATTATGAATCACAGAAACTCTCTGGGTGAAACACCAAATATATCACACTGTGAAAATTGCATGGGGGCAGGGGGGGGGGTCTATTAATGCTAATATTTTTTAAAAGTTTACTGACCAGTCTGTAACTGACTAGTCAGTTACAGACTGACCGGTCAGTTACAGAGACTGACCGGTCAGTTACAGAGACTGACCGGTCAGTTACAGAGACTGACCGGTCAGTTTCAGAGACTGACCGGTCAGTTTCAGAGACTGACCGGTCAGTTTCAGAGACTGACCGGTCAGTTTCAGAGACTGACCGGTCAGTTTCAGAGACTGACCGGTCAGTTTCAGAGACTGACCGGTCAGTTTCAGAGAGACCGGTCAGTTTCAGAGACTGACCGGTCAGTTTCAGAGACTGACCGGTCAGTTTCAGAGACTGACCGGTCAGTTTCAGAGACTGACCGGTCAGTTTCAGAGACTGACCGGTCAGTTTCAGAGACTGACCGGTCAGTTTCCTTGTATGTGAGACCATTCCTCCTGCAAAGGCAGGTTAGGCTAGCCCTAAGTGTCTGGCTTCAACCTTGTACAGACTGATAGACAAACTGACATTCTTTATGATAGATAGATATATATAGATAGGTAGGAGGCATGTTTAAATTCAGCAGTGGGATAGTGAAAATCTTGGAACCCAGTTATATTTATTATCTGACTTTAATAATTTTGATTTGAATCCTTACACAGATGGAATGGATTCGCCAAAACCTCTAGGCTGGGTCCTTAGTTCAGAGTCTTGTGCATTCCAGTCTGTGGGTGCTACACTTATGCGAGAGGTTAGTGTGTACGAGAATAATTTTGTGATGTTTTATTTGAAGGTTTGCCGTGAGTAAATTGACCATACGTACAGTAAGCTCAAAGTAAAATAATAATAGAAATTGTCAATTTACCTTGTTATATGCTTTTTCCATATAGGTTCTTTGTCTAACCGATTAGTTATCTTCATCACATTTTCAGCTATTGTAGTCTCAAGAGGTACTGAGGACTAGCAGCTGGAAACAGGGGTGTAATAACATAATGAGTGCATCTAAGAATCACAAATTTGCTGAAAGATAAATTAAAATTAAAGTGAAGCCATATAATAATTGATGTGCACTAGAGTATTTGTTACATTGTTTTACTTTAATCCAGTGCATGATCAATATTTTTTCTGCAACACAAGAGGGACCTTGACTGTTCTGTACTTTTAACTCCTTAGGTTTATCCGGGCGAAATAGTGGAGCTGGGTCCAGAGGGTGTGCGATCGCTTGACATTGTACCCCGGCCAAAGCCTGCCAAGCCATTCAGTGAAGCGCACGAAGACCCCAACCACACTGACCATGCTGATATCCTCCAGGGACCACCCCCTGCCTTCTGTATCTTCGAATATGTTTATTTTGCTCGGGCCGATTCTATATATGAAGGTATGCATGGGGGAATTCTTAAGACTATAAGAGTAAAGGATTCTGTAGAAGGCCTATCGGTCAATGTGAAACAACTATTTACATTCAACCATTCTCACTCGTACATTTATTTATCTTATGTTTGAACCTTTTCAGTTTTTACTTATATGATAATATTTAGTAACCTATTTCATAGATTTGCAACCTTGTTTCTGAGCCAGTTTTTTTTTTATATATATATATTTACAGTAATTCTAAACTTATTCAACTTGAATCCATTGTTTAGTGTTTTAGCATATATGTACAGTATATACTTGGTACCCTTTTATATTTATTTATTTATTTATATATATACAAGAAGGTACATTGGGATTGTGAGGATACATATTATAGTAATTACAGTACAATCTTGTAAAGCCACTAGTACGCACAGCGTTTCGGGCAGGTCCTTAATCTAAGAAAATTTTAAGTAGGTAAATACTTTCAAAATTTATAAAAAAGGATAAGTTACAAGGCAAGAAAAAAATATATAAGATGAGAGAAGATTGTAGGTACTGTATATTAAAGCACAAAGGTAGCTCAGATTAATTGCAATGACAGCTTGAATAGTAGTTGACAAAAATTGGTAGGCACAATACAGCATATGGCTAGCACATAGAAGAAGACAGCAATGAACACAATGATAAGGTTGTTTGGGTTAAGTACATAAAAATTAGGAGATTGGATAACACTAGATACAGAGCAAATTTAAAGCTCAGTGTAGGAAACTACGAAGATGAAATTGGGTACTTTTTGCTTTTGCTTTTAAATGAGGCAAAAGTTTGACAGCTTTTCAATTCACTAGGGAGTGAGTTACATAGACTTGGTCCCTTGCAGAGTGTTTTCACAGATTAAGTTTGACCCTGGGGATATCAAAGAGATATTTATTTCTGGTGTGGTGATAATGGGTTCTATTACATCTGTCCAGGGAGAGTTTCAGAGCATGGTTTGCATTTAAGAACAGGGTTTTGTAAATGTAGTTAACACAAGAGAATGTGTGGAGGGAGTTAATATTTAGCAAGTTTAGGGATTTAAACAAGGGAGCCGAGTGTTGTCTGAAAGCAAAGTTAATTATTCTGATAGCAGATTTTTGCTGGGTGATGATGGGCTTAAGGTGGTTTGCAGTGGTAGACCCCCATGCACAGATACCATAATTAAGATAGGGGTAGATTAGTGCATAATATAGTGAGAGGAGAACAGAGTTAGGAACATATCTTATTTTAGAGAGTATACCAACTGTTTTAGAGACTTTCTTAGTTATGTGTTGAATGTGGGTGCTGAAGTTGAGTCTCTTGTCAAGGAATAGGGCAAGAAACTTGCCACCATTTTTATTACCGATGTTAATGTTGTCTAGCTGTAGCTGAATTGCATTTGATGATTTGCTTCCAGATAAGATGTAGTAGGTGTTTTCTATGTTTTAAAGTTAGTTTGTTAGTTGACATCCATAAGTGGACTTTTTTTAATTCAGTATTCACAACATTATTTAGTGTATGTGGGTTGGGGTCTGAATAGATAAGGGTAGTATCGTCAGCAAACAATATAGGTTTAAGAATATTAGAGACATTAGGCAGTTCATTGATATATATAAGAAATAGAAGAGGTCCTAAGATGCTGCCCTGTGGCACTCCAACGGTAATTGGTAGAGTGGAAGAAGTTGTATCATTGATGGTTACACATTGGTGTCTGTCACTAAGATAGGATCGGATGTAGTCAAGGGCAAGGCCTCGGATTCCATAATGCTGGAGTTTAAGTAAGAGGTAGTTGTGATTGACAGTATCAAAGGCTTTTCTTAGGTCAATGAAGAGTCCAATCGGAAACTCATTTTTGTCAAGGGCTGAGTAGATTACGTCAAGGAGACTAATGATTGCATCATTGGTGCTCTTTTGGGACCGGAAGCCAAACTGGCAGGGGCTGAGTATGTCAAATTTTACGAGGTAGGAATAGAGCTGTTTGTAAATAATTTTTTCAAATATTTTTGATAGGATGGGTAGATTTGATATTGGTCTATAATTGTTTATGTCCACCGGATTGCCTCCTTTATGGACTGGTGTTACTCTTTCTTTTTTAAGGATATCAGGGAAGGTGTGACACTATAGATTTGTTGAACAGTAGAGCTATGAGTGGGGCAAGGGCATGGGAGGCACTCTTGTATACAATGGACGGAATTTCACTGGTGTTCCCTGCCTTGGTTTTTAGAGTGCATGATGGACACAACATCTGCCGGGCTGATTGGTGAGAGGAGAAGAGAGTTTGGATAGCTGCCTGAGAGATATGTGTTAATGTGTGTCTGAGTCTGTGGGATTTTACTTCAAAGATTAGCACCAACCGATGAAAAGAAGCTATTAAATTCATTTGCCATTTCTAAATCGGTTGACGGTGTATACCCATCCTTAGAGTTTTATTTGGTTATGCGAGTGTTTTGTTCCTAGGATACTAGAGATTGTTTTCCATGTGCTTTTCATGTTGCCTTTTGCTTCATTGAATCTATTCACATAATATGCAAGTTTTGCCTTTCTTATGATACTGGTAAGCATTGACGAGTACCTTTTAGCTACTTCCTTTGAAACTAGTCCAATCCTAAGTTTCTTTTCATATTCATGTTTCTTGTTGATTGAGTTGAGAATGCCACTTGTGAGCCATGGATTGTTTAATCTTTTGTCAGTTACTTGCTTGGTAAGAAGGGGACAATGAAGGTTGTAGAGGCTTAGAGTTTTGGAGAGGAAGAAGTTAGCTAATGAATTTATATCCTGGGTATTATTGAATTCAGAATCCCAGTTAATATTATGAAATGCATTTGTAAGATTGCCTAAAGCTGATTCACTGTGTAACCTAAATGAAAGTTTCTTGCTTTTTGGTGGTGTTATGTCCATGTTCGCTATGAGAAAGGTAAGATAGTGGTCGGTTGTTCTGTCGTAGATTATACCAGATACAAGGGGAGCTGTTATGTTTGTCCATATGTGATCCAAGGTAGTGGCTGATGTTTGAGTGACTCAGGTAGGTTTGGTGATTGTGGGGATTAGCATACAGGAGTTCATGCTGTTAAGGAAATAGTAAACTTGAGAGCAATTTTGTTGACCCAGGTCAATATTGAAGTCTCCTCCCAGAATGATGTGGTTTTTGAGATTGTTGTTAATAATAAGATTCCTTAGGTTTTCTGAGAAAGAAGCTATGTTAGTATTGGGAAATCTATAGATGGCTCCAATAGTCAAAGAGGCTTTAAGGGATTTAATTGTAAACTGAGCAAAAGTATATTCACAGTAGTCATCTCTGTCACTAATGACACTGTTGCAGATAAATGTATCTCGGTAATATATAGCTGTGCCACCACCTTTTTTATTAGGCCTACAGTTATGAATGGCTTTATAACCAGCTAAGTTGTAGAGTTGGGTATAGTCTTTATTTAGCCAAGTTTCTGTTAAAATAATGAACGATAAGTTAGTACCTAGTGCTGTGAGTAATGCATTTATATCGTCAAAATGTTTACCAAGTGATCTAACATTTTGGTTGTAAAATGATAAGCAGGTGCTATTATGAAGTTTGTTTTTTGCCTGGTGTGCTGTGAAATACTTGTATTTAGTTTGGTAGCACATCCTTTCATTAATTTCTTCACTTTAATCATGTCCTCACCTACTCAATGCCTTTCTTTTGAGCAAAATTTGTTTATTAGTTTGTCATAGTGGAGGTTCCCAATTCCAAGGATTATCCATCATACATAATAATATCTCATAGCTCAAATAATAATTATATCAAAATGTAAGTGATTTCTTGCAAGAGCAAAATAAAATTGAAGTACTATTCAGTGTACTGTATAACATTGTTTTTATTGAGAAAATCCACTAGGGCAATGAGGTGGGTTTGTCATTGCCAAGTTGCATACTCTACCACTAGACCACTGCAGGCTTGTAAAAGTCATACAACTGGATTTCTACTGAAATCACAGGAAGTCTGGAGGCCCCTACTGAAGCAAGGCCAAGTTTTTATGTATGACCCACAAGCACTCGGGCAACAGGGCAGAGTGGTAGTCAGTGGTGGTCTACTGGTAGAGTATGCGGCTCATCAGTGCCAAAGTCGTAGGTTCGCGCCCACTTCATTGCCCTAGTGGATTTTCTCATTGATATGTCACGATAACGTGATTTCTGCATGATTATTTTTATTGGTAAAGCTTTGACATAAATCCTATGTCCTTACTAATCATGACCAATTCCTGTGCAATAACCATGTCTTGACTCAGTTTGTTTTGATATGTACACTGTATTGTAATATTGTCATCTTTACTTCTATCTTCTGCTTTAAATATTTTTTAAATAGATTAGAGTAAATTTGTTAGACATTGCTGTTTATATAAAGTGGTGGTGCAAATTTTGCATTAATCTGCGATATGCAAGGAGAGTACAAATTGTATTTACAGTTATTGCTTTATCCCTCAATGTGAGGGCATTGAAATACGGTCATATCTGTCAAGGCACAAAAAATGAAAGTCCCCCATGCCAAAACCTAAAAAATTTCATTATGAAATTATTAAATTGTACTCAAAATGTAAGAAAAACAAGACAAAATAAATGTGTGCCTTCTTACTGGTGGGATGAGCTGTGAAAGGTGGTGGTGTGGTGATCTGAGCCAGCATCTGTGGACACCCAGTGCTGACTTTGCTGACAGTACAGTACCAGACACGAGAGACTAGTGTTCATCTTTCATCATTTATCCCGTTTATATATTTACTACAACATGAGAGTGTTGAATAGCTTGATTTATGAGCACATAATAATGTACTTGATCCTTGTTTTGTGAATTGACTAATAAGGATAATGTTTCTATGCCTACAATGCATATACTGTAATTAGTAGTTCACTGTGTCGGGGAACAGGAAGCCAGAATGTATAAATACACTATTTATAATGTTTCAGTGCTGTTGTATACTTCAGTAAGTTTTCAACATGTGGTATACTTCATTACAACCATATACAGTATATACAAATTCAGCATGTGGAGGCCTGCGGCGGTGCTTGCCTCGTGTGCCAATGTGAGAGCTCTGTCAGCGAAACACACTGCCCTGAGCACCACATTCTCATCATTGACCTTGGATGTCGTAGATGATCGATTGCTTATACAGTATAATAAGAGTGATATAGGTATAAATAGCTAGGCCCATATGAGTCCATATTAATAGAAGCTGTCTTGTATGGCCAGTAGGCCTTCTGTAGTCCCTTTATTATGTTCAAATGATGATTGACCTAGTACACTTCACAACTATTTAGTTGTGAAAAGTGTGTGAATATAATTGATATACGCATGTAATTATAATGAAATTTTATGCCGTGATGGTATAGTGAGGTAATCACAAAATACTGTAGCAGAATTTTGGAGTTCTAATTCCAGGTGGGATAGAAATGGTTGGGCACGTTTCCTTTCACCTAATACATCTGTTTACCTAGCATTAAATTAATACCCCGGAAGTTAGTCAACTGTTGTGGAATTGCATCTTGGAGAGGGTCAGTAGTTCGACTTTGGGGGTGGGGGGCCTCGATATAAGCGTGTCTAACAAAATGAAAATTAATATATGTATGTATATTGGCATCATTTATGTAAAACCCTGACAATAATAGTTTGTCAATGTATGGTTATAACTGCATTACCCCATGAATCACCATATGATGATAATTGCACTTTAAGGGTAACATAGGTTTACTATTGTTGACATTACACTAATTGGCTAAGTAGCTAGGGTGCATCTGATCAAAGGCCCTTAATAATAAACAGCTACAGTGCAGCTAATTGGTGATAGTTGTCTTTCATTATTTGTTAAATTTGTAATGTATTTGCATACTTTCATAACTTTGGCACATTAACACTAATAATTTATCAATTATATTTAATGAAAGCTGACTAAGCTTTTCTTCATTCTTTTAAGACCCTGGAAGATATTTCATAAGGCTCTAGTGACTTATTTGGTTTGTTTACCAAGTGGTTCCCTAGTAGCTGCTAGTTTACTATACCTGTACTCTATAAAATAGAATAACTGTAGGCATGTTGACAAACTCTTCAAAAAGAGTGAGATAAAATACTTATATAGAATAATCACCCACTCCCTCTTTATTATATGTTGGATGACCATTTTAGTGTCCCAGGATTTGGTGTGATTCATCTGAAAGACGTTTTTGGCATTCACATTTGCTTCCCTTACTAGCCTCACTGTATAATTTCCTTTTTCCTCTTGTTTCCTCTTTCCATTCATATCATACGTTTTTACAAAATTAATACAGTACAATGTATTTTATTCTACTTTGAATGAAAAACTTTAAGGTGGCGACCTTACCCTAACATTGTAATGTACAGTATTAAAATAAAAGAAGTTATATTGCTAAAATGTAATTAGCCTATTGAATGTAATGAGAATTAACAAGGGTTTTCCTTTTTAAATTCTTTCAAACAAAAAGGAAATAAAAAAAAAAATTTTTAGTAAAACTTTATAAGGACTGGAGTTTGAATTATGAAAAAGATATGTAACACTTCTTTAATTTGATTTTTAAGATAACTAATCATAATAAAATATTAAGTGTTATTTTATTCTTAAGAATATTTTATAGTAAGGTTTTGTTATTATTTAGGTCAACAAGTATACAGCGTGCGACAACGATGTGGGCGGCAGCTAGCTATAGAATCTCCTGTTGAAGCCGACATTATTTCCACAGTTCCAGAGTCTGCTACACCAGCAGCCATTGGATTTTCTCTTCAGGTGAGTTGTTTGAAGTCAAATTTGTCAATACTGTTAAGACATCATAGAAACAAATTACAGGTGTTAATATTTGATTTTTAAAAAGAATCTTAAACTTGAGTAGATATTTTCTTTAAAATTTCTTGTGTTACAGTCTGGTATCCCATATGTAGAAGTATTGTGCAAGAATCGTTATGTTGGACGTAGTTTCATCCAACCCGACACTCGATCCAGACAGCTTGCTGTTGCCAAGAAATTTGGTGCTTTGACTGAAAATCTTGCAGGCCGTAGAGTTGTTCTGGTGGACGACTCAATTGTGAGAGGTACCACTGTAGGACCTATTATCAGACTGCTGCGACAATCTGGTGCTCGGGAGGTGAGTACAATGTAACAGAGGGAGAGGAAAAAGGATTGTAATTACTGTACCTAATTGTAGTTATAGGAGGAGTGCTAAACTTGTGTCCCATCTACTTCATAAATTTGATTGCATACTCTTTTTATATTAGTGGTAGTATTGGCACTCAAGTCTCTGTTGCCACATCCCCTTAAATACAGTACAGTACTATACTCTATTACTGAAGAATTGTGATATTGTTGCTACAGCAATGTTTCTTGGTCTTGTACCCATGTTCTCTCTGTTTAGGGTACAATAAGAAAACTACTTAATAAATTGTCTTGATCACCAGATGCAATATAATTAGTGATGATGTCCATAGGATTTCTCGTCTTCCAATTTGGGAAGTCCTAGAAAGTTAAATCTTTGTGAGCTGTCAGAGTTTCAGAAACCATTTTGGTGTATTCCTTTGAACAATTGCTAGTACCTGTACTGTATAGCTACATGCATTTTTAAATGTAGGCACCACATCACACCTGCATATTCTAATTTTGAACCACACACTGGCAACATATTTCATTTTTTTGATTGCTCCATCAATGTACTTAACACTTTTAACATTGACTCGTCGGCGCATATTGAACAGTAAACTTTTCAGGCATCCCAAGGTCCTACTCAGCAGTGCCTAAAAATGTTTGTACAGTACTCTAATTTTTTTTTTTCGGTTAGTTTTTGGGTTAGAATTTGAAGGAATTTGCAAGTGTTTGCTTTATTGAACCACTCATTCCTTGGCTCCACTACAGTAGCTTTCATAGCTTATGCTCTAGCTCTCTTCGTCTCTCCCTCCCTCTTCATCTTATATCCCCACCGCAGAGGATAGTTGTACGTGGAATCAAAGAAAAAAAATGGGATAAGAGTAAAGTCTACTAGCTTGCACTAATAAACTTTGAGTAAATTATATTATTTTCCAATATCTAAATGAAATAGTTAAAAAGCTCAAAGTATCTCATGCCATTTGGTCTGAAACATATGATAACTGGGAATCTAATACAAATGTTAGCCACATTCAGGACTGAACCCAGAGAAGTCAAAAGTGAGGTAGTCCTAGTCCAAGTGAATAGTTAGAGACAGAGTGAAGGCTTTCCTGCTGAGATGGTAGCTACAAGAGATGTAAACTCCCTCACCATGCTTTAAGCTTTGCACAACATCCTTGACCACAGACCTTTCCCAGAGTGGTGATGGCTTTGTAGTATTCCTGGGAAAGTGTAAAGTACCATCACAGTAGCAAAATATCCACAAGATAATCTCAATTTATTGTCAATGTTTACAAATGAATTTACTAAGAGTATAGATGCAAAACAAAGTGCTTTGATAATAGATTATGCATGATGGTACTGAATATAAGAATGTTAATGAATTCCAACATTGCACATATATTTGCAAACATACTGTAATTAAAAAATATGAATGTGCACACATAATCGTTCTATATCTCGGTAAAATGTAATCAAACATAACTTTCCTACTTTTCCAACAGGTTATTTGTAAGAGTAATTATTGTCTTGAGTGATGTGTAGTTGATCTTTGGTTGATCCCCTGATAAGCTAAGCCCACTGCTCATTTTAGCATTATTGAAACACTTGAAGTACGAATGATGTGTTTTAATATCAGAATGGTAGTGTTAGTGCTATCCAGAGGTTGGCTAGCACTGTATAGGCCTCTTACAGTTTGCTAGTTATGTGGGCCTGTGGTGACATACTGTCTTGCCACAGTCCCTTGAAATACAAACAAGTTACTTCCCTACTTGATAACCTTCCTCTGTGTAAGAGGAAGGTTATCAAGTTATCCATTTGTTGTTGACAACAAATAAGAAACACCAATAGTAGATAACGTTTTGCCTTTTAAGGACATTGTTAAATCTTGATGGTGATAGTGCTAACTAGCTAGTGTATATAACTAGACATAATGGGGAATTTTACTTGAATTTACCTGAGAGTTCACTAATGCTAGTGGTCTCAATGAGGTCAGAAAGCCAGCAGCTTGTCAAAGGATTTTTATATATATTTTTTTTGTATCTTTTATTTTGTGAAGTCCTTACTAATAACATGTTATCTAATGTTTAAGCCAACTCTCATCTTGGTGTTTCTCTACACAAGTAATTTATTTGCATGTGAATGCACAAAAATATAAGTAAATTTGCTGATTGAAATATTATAGGCTAGGTAATAAATGCAGACAGACTAAAACGATTCAGAAGGGCCTAAATGGATTTGGAAAATACCTAAGTTTTCATGTAATTTATTTTTTTTTTTTTTTTTACTATTATGGGATTGCGGTACCTTGTATTTTTTTGCAGATTTATTCTTTAACACTGAATTAAATTTATTGTTAAAGATAAAAGTATTAATGGTGTACATTATTCATCAGGTTCACATTCGTATTGCCTCGCCACCAATTCATCACCCATGTTACATGGGCATTAACATTCCAACACGAGGAGAACTCATTGCGAACAAGAAGCCACCTGAGGAGCTCGCAAAATTTATCGGTAAGGATTTAGCACCTGTTTGTTTTCTGGAATGTGATATTATTTCAATGTATTAGATGGACTTTAATATTAACAATGTTATTGTTTGATTACAGTACCAGTGTTGCTTATTATGGGGAGGGACAACTTTTTTCAAGAGGTAGTAGGAGTATTGTATGAAAGGATATACTGTAGGAGTATTGCATGAAAGGATATACTGTAGGAGTATTGTATTACAGGAGAACTGTAAATATACCAAGCAATGCTTGACTTGTGTAGTACAGTAGAAGCTTATTGAAACTGAATCCATTCCAAAGGTAATATAGATGCAACAGAAACAATCCATTCAGTTGTAAGATTGTTGCAAATGACTGAAATGTAACAAAAATTTGTTGGGTAGAATCTCCATACTGTGCTCACTGGACTTGACTGTAGTACTGTACCAAAAAAAATATGACCACTACAATGACTATTACAAAATTGTGGTTATAACATTCCAAAAACTATATGGAATCACTAAAAGTCCAGGTTCCTGAATAGTGTTTGCCATATTTTGGCTATTTATCAACATTTCGTAGTTTTATAGAACGCGGTAGTGTAAGAGAGAGACCTTTGTGTAGGGAGAAATAGCACTTGTAAGAGAAAGAGACCCTTGTGTAGGGAGAAATAGAAGTGCTATTGAGAGAGCCTTGTGTAGGGAGAAATAGCACTTGTAAGAGAGACCCTTGTGTAGGGAGAAATAGCACTTGTAAGAGAGACCCTTGTGTAGGGAGAAATAGCACTTGTAAGAGAGACCCTTGTGTAGGGAGAAATAGCACTTGTAAGAGAGACCCTTGTGTAGGGAGAAATAGCACTTGTAAGAGAGACCCTTGTGTAGGGAGAAATAGCAGTGTTAAATGTTGAAAAACAGTCTGAAACTCTGACCCCTTTCAGATGCACAGAGCATCATCTCAACAGGAAAATGTAATCTCCTAAAAAAAAAAAAAAAAAAGTAAACAAAAGGGATAAAATGGTTAAGAAAAAGCAGATTGAATGCAAGAAAATATAGAGAAACAACAGTTAAATGTAGAAAAACAGCCTGGAATATTATAAGACATATAAATGAAGTATTGGGAAATGTGTATGACATGTATAGGGAGGGAACATTATTGGAACCAGGCAGGCAGGGACATGTGGTAGGCCCCATCAGTCACTTGGGAGAGGGAGGCAGTGAAAACCAGACCTGTGTTGTGGATGGTCTCCAACAAACACGATAAGTACAGTATTATAGATGTTTATAGTGGTGCTTCCCCTTTTCTTTGAGTTAGAGATAGGAATTTGTGGAAATAAGGATTTTTGGAACCTTGTGTGTAGGGATGTAATGACCCTGATTGTAATACCTCGCCTTGTATCTATCTCGACCGCGCACTCCGCTACTACCACTGAGCTAACCGTGCAATCTCCGCTCTTTCTATGGTAATAACAGATGCTATACCGATCATATAAGATGTTAACACTCGGGCCGTCATACGAAGACGTAAACCAGTACACAGAGGAAGGAGAGAGAGAGGAAGAGGGAGGCAGAGCGAGAGGAGAGAGAGAGGAGAGCGAGAACGAGAGCAAGGGAGGGAGAACGAGAGCGAGTGAGGGCGAGGGAGAGTGAGACACTAGTGAGGGAGAGTGAGACAGAAAGATAGAGATAATCGTAGTCACAACCTATCGTATGAGTTACCGAGTGACGCTGCCACCACCCTGAGTTACCGGACAGGGGACCGGAGTGAGAGTCGTAGGTCTTGCAGATGGAGTAACCTACCAGGACAGGTGTAGGGGACAATTGAACGGTACAAGGATCCTGGCCTGACACTCGAATAATCCTGACCACTTGGGAACTATAGTGTACACAAGAATAAGGCGGGACACACCAACACTAATACCTCAACACGGAAGACGAACGGGGGGAGGAGTACTGAATAATTAAGAGCACTAGGTCACTAGAGCAAAGGGGACGGTAGGCCCAATATCACTAAAGCAAGGAACCATTAATACACATTTAATAACACTTAATATCTGACTTTATTTGAAATAATTAAATAAGACACTCCCTAACTATATTCCCTACTAGAGGCCAAGGGTACTGAATGAGGTGCTTTAGTACAAGAGAGCCGTACTTACTCGTATGTTTGTTCCACAGTTTCCCTGGAGATGATGTTCTTTCCCAGAGTCCACACACACCTCCCTACTGGGCTGTGCCCACTCAACTGACTCTCCTGATCTACTGCTCCTCAGCTGAACATGAGGGTTTTGCATTTGTTGTTTAGGGGTTAATCCCTGAAGATTACCATGACGGCATCAATTCTGACCTCTTTGTGATTCGATGACCGTTGACCTGACTCTATGGCTAACTTATACAGAGGTGTAACTTTACATTGTCTGCCGTCGCCTGACTGGCGCCTGTGGGTTGTTCATCCTCCACGTGGCCTGTTCATGCTGTTATGATGTTCATGTACTATGTACTGCTCTCTTGTTACAGGGAGAGTGGTGTGTTGTTAATTCAGGTGTATGTGCTCAGCTGTGTATCACATGGGGGTTATCCACATTTATTTTGTATATCCATTTGTAAACCCAGGCCCTTTGTAGTGACCTAAGAGGAGTGGAATAGAGTAATGACCTTAAGTCCTAGGTTGTAGAGGGAGAAGGAACCTACCCTCCCCCCTTTTTGTCTGTATCAATCCTGTGGTGGGTCCAAGTACACCTACCCCCCCTCCCCAATTCTAAGAAGTATGAGGAAATCTGGTATTTGTTAAATAAAATCCTTTTTGTATAATTGTACCCCAAGGTACATTTCTTGTCTCATGTAGTTAGAACTGGAGATTATTACTATATAGACCCCTGCACTTCCACTATTTATAAGTAAGAAAGAGCGGGTGGTGTTGGCGATACTTTAGGGTATGGCTTTCAATCTCGTACCTTACAGTAGAACAGCTTTTGGCAATTAAAACAAAAATATTACGCAAGTGTTTTTGTTTACATACTATATTACAATTAATTATTATTTATAAGTTTTGTAGCACAAGCCAATCTTCAGGTATCCAGTGGCAGGAAAATGTGGTTACTGCACTTCGTATGTAGTACACTTCTGTCTTTAAAGGCATTCTTACATAATATTATAACTACATATTTAAGAATTTAATAAATTTGCAATATTAGTAGTGCACAGGAATTTGCAAGTGTTTGGTTTATTAAACCACTCATTCCTTGGCTCCACTACAGTAGCTTTCATAGCTTATGCTCTAGCTCTCT